ACAATCGTCAAATTACTAGATCATGTGCCAGACTGAAAGTGGCATTTTATAGATTTCTTTAAAAAGGTACTCATACTCTAACTTTAAGACTGCTTTAGGACATACAAGCAGTTAATTAAGTATAAAGGCACAGTCTGTGTGATCTCTGCTGCATTTTCCTTGTTCCATAAAGGCCTTCCTGAGAAGCGGGATTTTTTTCCTAGAGGCAAAAGACCCACTAATGTACTCTGCTCTTAATAGCAGAAACTCCTTACTCCTGAGCTGTCGCCTTTTGCTAGTGCACATTTCTGCTCAGATTGTATTTCCATAGGTTTTGATATGCCAAAAGGCTGCTACCACTACTAATGCAGTGACATATACAGGCAGGAAGAGAAAAAAAAGCCAAAAAAACCAAACCACAAACAAAATAATCACACGAGAAGAATGTAATTCATCAGAGACACATGGACTCCCTAAAAAAATCCACCAAACCACTGTCATGCATAGCAGACTTAGAGTTGTTATTCAGTTCTCTACAACTGGAGATACACAGAGAATTTTTAATACCTGAATAGGTATATATCATCTGCCTTATCTCCTTTGTGATAGTTGCAGCAGCAACTTCACCAAGAGCCATATAACACTTTTCCTTCCTACCCAGTCAAGCAAAACTAGCAGTAATCAAACAAGAAGTATCTGAGCATCCCTTCTGAAATGGCTCCACAGCTCAAAAGGGGCAGCTCCAGTCATGGAAAATGCCTCACTCAGATCCCAAATTCTGAATTTCTCCATCTCATGCAACAGCTGGCAGCTCACACAAATATTACAAGAATATCACCATATATTTCAGCCCGGCAGCAAAATCAAGGTCAAGTCCTTTTTTTATCATGTTGCTGCACTGTCCCACACAGGAAGCAAACAGGTGGAGTTTTTGTTAACTAAAGCACCCTGTAATTGGATTGAAAAGCAAAATCTTTCGAATTTTGAAGTAGACTGTGCTAACATGCCTATGCTTCAATAAAACCATAAATCTGCATGCTTTCACTCTATAGTTTACTTTGCTTGTTTCATACCAAAGCTGGTAAAATAATTTTTCAGCCTTTATGTGTGATTTCCAAATGAACTTAAAAAAGACCCCATACTCTTTTGAACACCTAGCTGATCAATAACACTGAAGTCCAACACTTTAATTCACAGATGTATTTGAAAAGTGATACTTAAAGCAATGTGAAGAGAAACACAGACACTAGTTTCAGTTGCTCACAGCTCAAAGTCAACAGAAAAACAGAATTAAAATAAATACTGCATTACACCACACTAGAGTGTATGCCAAACAGATCACAGAAAAATGACCATACATGATCTTGGTCTAAGTCACAGACAGAAGGACTATTATACAAGGGCAGAGAGTTTATCACCACGCACGGTTGTGATTCCCTGTATTTCCCACTGAATTTTACAGAGACATTTGAAGCCCAAAAGAGAGACTGACTACAAGACACCAAAGGACAGCATCCAGCTTTCTGAAATACACCCAAGACAACAGGATACTAATTTGTCTGGATTCTGAAAGGTGAATTTCAAGAGACAGCTCCCAGGGAAGATCAACCACTGGCAGACACATTTAACGACCTGACAAAGAACGCACCTGTCTCAGGAGGTGCTGTAACTGTATGTCCTCCACTTCATGAAGGCAAAGGCCATGTTTCAAGTCTGAATGCCAATAACTAGGTAGAGTATGATGGCTGTACCATGAAGGGTTGAGCATACTACTCTTTTGTCTGAAATTCAAGCCCATTGATTGATATAATACATTCCACCCCAATTGACTGAACTTGGGCTGCATCCAAAGAAACCAGGGGAGCAGCAGCACTGACATCCTGCAGCACCTTCCCAGTGAAACAACACCTCTGTTTAATCATGCTTGTAAGATTCCATTACAAAAGGGACTTTTCAGAATGTCATCTTTATTTTAAAAATCCCAAACACAGACTTGACAATTGAGAACTGATACTGGACTGTATCTAATTCTGGGAACCATCCTGTGTGTGATGAGCAACCGTAAGAAACTTATTTTTGCAATAAATTTCACATTCTGCATTGCACCTTTTATTACAAATTTATCATGTTTTATGTGAAGTTATGCACATGAGTATATGCATATGCAATACTACTAAAGAGAACAGCGACCATTTTGGAATATGTGTGTTTAAGAATGAGACTATCTCTTATTCGCTACAGTGAAGAAACTTCAAAATTCTTAGCAAAGTTGTTAATAATTTCATTACATACAATGTAGGAACATTACATTCATCTGGTACTATTATGTTTGCACAAATGTCATAAATAAAACCTGAACTAGAAAAAGTTCACCTGACTCAACGTTAGTATTTTTGCAGTATTCTAACAATTTTCTTTTAGGTACTGATTTGTAATGTGTTATACCTAGCCTAACTTTGCTGATTTGGGTATAGTGGTTTTGCTTTCTTGAAGACACCTAGGAATAAATCTGGATACTACCAAATAATGATACATGTTTTGTTCATCAGGGCTATGATACCCACCACTTCAACTGTATGAGAATAAGAAATAATAATTGAATTAATTTTACAGCATATTACTGTGCCAGGATCTGACACTAAAACAATATCTTCCCAGATTCAGGTAACTATGTCTGTTAGTATCACAAAGCCTTGACAGATCTGAAATGACTGTCATTATAAAGAAAAAGCATTGTCATATTTTTACTTCTATTACTCTCTTTGTAACATTGCAACTTCTCACTTTTTTCTTTTCCTTAATATTATTATGTTTATAGGATATATCCTTTATGGATCTAGCTGTGAAAACCTCCTGAAACACTTAGAAACTTACTAATGCATACAAAAAAGTCCAAACTATTTTTTCCAACATACAGCATTACCTTTATTACACTGCTTGGTCATCTTTCATTAGGTTCCCTGGTTAAAAGTGGTAAAATGCAGAAGGAAATTCGGAAAACTGTGAAATTCTACACACATTCACTAACCAGGCTGCTGAGCTCTTTCTCCCACAGCACCTGCCAATTGTGTGACTCACGTACCCTAGGGGGTTATTCTGCATTTCATCGGTAGCTTTTCTTTAGGTAAGTATATTACTGACTTGAGCCATACTCAGCCTGATTTATTAAGAACCACAGCCCAAAAGGGGCAGGCAACCTTTTCATCCATTCAGATGGGAACCACACTGCCCCTCCCCCAGGGAAAGACCTGTGTGCTCCACGATCCAGTATGTCAATGTTAAAATACACAGGACCCCAAACCAGCAGGATTTACTTCTCTTGGCGTGGACTTCAGCAGTTTGCCCTTTCAGTAACAGTGGCTTACAGACTTAGAAAACTCTGAATCTGTGTTTTAGCTTTAGTACGGAATTAAGGAAGTCCTTAAGACCTACAGGTCAACTGCAGGTGGATGACGGACTTGTGGAAGTGGACCTGTGTCAGCCTATTAAAAATACAGAGGTTTTCCCATTATACCATTGGTAGTGGGCAAGAGATTGCAAGACAACAAAGAGGGAAATACCTACCAGAAACTAAAAAGGATTGGTTTTAACTACCATCCATGTGTCTTTCACATATCAGTTATTTTGAAGTTGCTACACAGCACACACCTCTGCAGAACCATTTGTAAAATTCCAGTTATATTGGATTTGCTTGTCTCCATTTTCGGTCTTTGAAAATAAAGAGAACTGCTGCAGCCAGTAAAAGTGCATGTGCTCCTACATGGCATCCAAAAATCTATTTCAACTAGCCTGCTCTACTAAGGATAGATAGCATGTCTTAAGGCTAGTGACAAATTAAAACAGAACATTCAGCTTTTTGAAAACACAAAAAATTCACACCAAGAGTGATAAGTATGTACATTTTCAGGTTTGAAGACAAATTTAACTAACTTGCCATAATGAGAATGCCACTTCAACCACAGAGTATCCCCTGTGTCATGCTGTAAAGCAGGGCCTGTCCTATTGTATACCTTCTAAATTTTACAGCCTTTGCATGCCCTAAGGGACCAGTCATTAAAAGGTCACTTCAGAAGTAAATTACCTTCTCCTTCGTGGGAAGTTTCTACAAAGTAAAAACCTAATGCTGACACCTCCCCACAGCAGGGCATTTATTGTCTGTTCAAGAGAGGGCAAGCAGGGTTATGAATCTGATGGCAATAACAGAGACACAAATCAGAAAACAAAAAAACCGAGAGAATTGAACAGGAAAGACTGGGAAGCATTCCTCTCTACCATGCACACTGCACCTCTAGCCATAAGCACAAATAATGGAACAAGGTTTCTCCTACCATGCCTTTCCTTTTCTAAAAGTCTCTATGAAAGATGCTTCTGAAAACCGAAGTTTGCTAGGAGAATGATTAAAATCCTAATTTTAATCATAAAATTAAAGAGCAAATCATACTTTAAACAGATGAGAAGGCACAGTAAACAAGTATTTTCAGGAGAGCAAATTTCCATTAAAATACATTTCTTCATGGCAATAGATTATTCCCATCAGAGTGAGATTCTAGGAACTCCTCCTCCTCCACAAAATTGGCATCATTGACAGAACTGCCTCTTTTAGCAAAAAATAACTCTCTGATATAACTGCAATCCTTTCCTGGATTTTCTGAACTCTCTAATACCGGAAAACAAAGATTTAGAGTGTGAAATACAAGCATTTAACTAAATTTCGTTTTCTCTCAAAAGAAACATGAACTTCTAAAGAACATCAAAGGAGGGGTACTGTTTATCGGTATCTCCCATACACTCACTGTCATAATGCTGACAGTTAGTAATTGACCAGACTTGAATAGGCAATACAATTCAACTAGAACACACATATGTTTGAACAAGGCCATCAACATCCTTCAGTTTGGACAATCTGCCGATAAACAGGAAAAAGGAAGGGGAGAACACAAATCTGGTGCACAGTCCCACAGACTAGGAATACTCAATACAGCACTGAGCAACGTATTAAGCAAAACCAAACAACCACTTACGTCAGATTTGGAGGACACATTTTCCTCCACATCAGAATCACTGGGATCTAGAATATCATCAAATGGTGGCAGAGTAGGCGTCTTCCTTTCCAGTGCATCATTTTCAATTTTGACTCTCCCCACCTTGAGCTGAGATTTATCTTTTGTCTGTTTTTTGTCAGCTGAGCAAGTAAGAATCAATGGTGGGGCACTAGGAAAACTTTTAAATAATGAATCCGAGCTGGGTTTTTTTCTTTTTCTTGCAGAAGATTCATCAGTATCCAGTATAGAGGGCCTTTTCGTGAGAGTCTTCTTTTCTTGCTGTTGCCCACATGTTATGGTAAAGATGGGGGTGTTTTCAGATTTTGGTTCCTTGGACATGGGTTTGGGTTCCTTGAAGGCCATCTTAGGAACCATTTTCTCATCTTTTAGTAGTGGTTTGTTTTCTTTGGGTTTCTTAGAGGATTCTTTGGAAGATTTGTTAGGTTCCCTGGAAGGTTCTTTGAAGGCACTTTTATGTTCTTTTGAGTCTTTACAAATTTTTTCTTTGTGCTCCTTTGTTAACTTCTGGGTCTTTGAAAAACTGTTACTACTGCTGCTGCTATTTATGTTCAGAATCCTAGCTGGGTCCTGCAAAGAGGAGATGAAACATTTTACTTGAATAAAAAAACCAAACCTTTATATCCTGAAAAGGCACACACAATATTGACATAGGATTCATATAAAAATCTTGGAACTGCAGGCAAATAACCAGGAATAGAAATAACCATATAAGAACAAATAGAAAGCCCAATATTTGGTCAAAACATCCGTTACAAACCGGTGGAATATTAACAGCTATCACTGCTTGTCAAAATGTTATAACAAAAGCTGTTTTTTACGCTAGGCATTATACCTGTCTTTTTAAAAAACACTGTGAGGTTAACATAAAGGATATCATCATCACCATTACCTAGGAGAAAATAAAAATAGCAAAGAAAAATGAAGATATAAACCATACGATGTCAACAGAATTACTACAGGATCAGAGGAACACATGACAACATTTCAGGCAAAGTTTTCTCTGCTGTGATCTTCCAGCTTTTGCCAGATCTTTTTCTTCACAAACTATAACAAACTTGGGTCCAGCCTTCCAGCCTGGCTACAGAAGAATCAGAATTATCTGATTGGACAGACAATAGTCCCTGCCTTTTTATGGAAAAGCTCCTAAAGCTGAAAGCTTCCTACTTTGAATATATTGGAGTCTTTGCTGAGTCTTTAATTATTTTTTGTTGTTGCTTTAATTGAACTCCTTTAAGTGAGAAGTGTTTCCCAGAAGGTAGTGACTCAGGCAAAGCCAGAAACAGCAGAGCAGCATCATTCCTCACTCATTTGAATCTGAAAAGTTGAAGTGGCAAGGCAAGAGATCATCTGCAGCTAGAACTGGCAATAAAGGAACCATCCAGAATGAGTCATCATGCAGGATCCTTTCTTCTGAGAATTAACACCTAGGAATATTTACAAGACAAGAACAGTTCTAGCACTGCCCGATGTCACCACTGCCCGATGTCACGGAAACTGCCAGCAGTGGGCTCTCAGTATCTCAAAAACACCCGGTAGATTAATTGCATTGTTTTAAACACTAAAAACATGTCATAAAAATACAGGACAAGGTCACATTTGATACTACTTCAAATCTGCAAAGTGACATTCGAATTTACAGGAACCCATGGCCAAGAAGTTTACACTGCTTGCTTTGTTCCAGGCTGATTGTAAGCATTTTTATCTGTATGTTGCCCAGGAAGCGAGAAACTTTTAGAAAGAAACACTTTAATGTGTATTGCATATACCCATTGATTGCCTTTACCTAGAAGAGATGTATATGTAAATATGGTGTATCTGGCTGTCTAAAACTGCCACATATTTACAGAGCTGTAGAGAGGATAACATATTTAGCTTATCTTCCACTTTAACTTAACCACCCTTGTACCCACAACATAGAGAACTGCAGAAGTATGGTAGAAAGTAAAGGACCAAAGCAGGACATAGCCATCCTCATCCCTCGCAGAGACTGACTAATTTTAAGAAATGCACACAGTACAACTGCTCTGAAAAAAGAACTATCCAAGAAAACAAAGCAGAATTTACATGTTAATGTAAGTCACGTCAATTAGAGGAGAAAGGGAAACAGACTACATCCACTGACATGCTTCCTGTTCATAGATAAGTACTTAGAACTTGTCCAATTCGCATGTGTTAAGTCAGTGTTTAATGCTCTAGGACCTGAAAGGTCTACACAAAACGTGCAGAAACTGCAGAATCTTCCTTCTCCTCTGTAACAACAGGTAGAAACAATTAACTAAAAATAATTACTTAGAAATGTTTTTCCCTTCTCATTACCTTATTTAGTGAAACACTGAGTCACAGTGCTCCATAAATTATTCAATTGCATGTTTTTATAAGATGCTTCTTGTATCTGTACTGCAAATGTATTTTTGTGTCAGACTTGGTAAACTAACTATATATTTATATAACATATATCAACATTAATATTAGCTAGAATCACCAACAATGAACAATACTATAATGACATCTGAATGTCTAAACGTAAGATGCTTCCTCAATTCCCAGGCCAACAATAAAAAAAAATAAAAAAAAGCACTTAGCACTCCTTGACATGTTTTACTTGAATCATAAAGAAGAACGCCAGGAAAAGACTTATGATTAAAAAAAAAAAGCTTACTATTTCCTTTGATGCAAAACTAGTACCAAAAGTTGACTTATGAACTAATTATTAATGATTCTACTGTCACACCATGTTCTATCATGCTAGAAAGGTGTTGCCCTGGGGAGGAATAAAATACACATCATCACTAAACTAGATAGAGAAATTATCTGTCTTACTGGCCTCCTTATAGCATGTATATTTTGCATGTCAGAAGGAGAGTCTAATTTCAGAGGTTTTCCAACAGATGAGATCTGTGAGAATGGTTCTGGGGCTCAGTAGTATGAAAACCAAAAGAAACTTGAGATCTGTCTTTTCAATTTTTAAAACAGACTTTTTTCATCTTCCTACAACATGGAAGCTGATATTTTCATAGAAATCATAGTACAAATATGTGACATACTTATGAGACTTATTTATACCCCCCTCTCACATGCCCTCTTAGAATTACCCTTTCTTAAAGGGAACCTAGCCATTGCTTTTATATCTGCATTCATTTTCTAAGTAAAAAGAGTATCTTTTCTATCTCCTTACTTTCTGCAAAGACCCAGAAAGAAACCAACAATGACAAAGAGGGGACAGCAATAGGAACATAAAATCTGTAAGACAGAAAAAAGTCAAATTATATCCACCAGTAAATTATATCAAACCTAATGATAAACATGGGATGTTGGTGCGGATGAAAAGCTACTGAATATCCATATCATGTCAGCATAGATCTTAATAAAAATCCAAATGTACTTTCAAACCATTTTCTTATTTATCAGAATCCGTGTTTAAATGTTTTTTTCCACCTTAATAAGCACTTAATCAGCAAGAAATAAGTAAATTAAGTAGAATAAAATACTCTTTTCTTAAGTTCATGTGAAAAATTGGGATCTGAGGTTTTGACAGGTAACATATTTGCACCGTAGCTTACATTTGGGTCTTCATCAAATATGCAAGTGACTCAAGTCAATGTAAGCCTTTGATATGTTGCATACAAACAGTATGCTAAAAAGTAATACAGGCACATAGGCATGTCAAAATACCTGCAGATGCCATCTTAAGACAAGTAACACCATATACATACAGTACCTCAAAATATATAGTACTGCTCTATGAAAGGGGCTAATGTATCTTTCAAAATATATATTTTAGAAAGCATAATAAAATCTAAACTTTTATCAGCAAATAAAACCTGTGTTACTGTGACTGTTGTACTCAATTCCTGCTCATATTTTGGCCAACACCCCTTAGCTCCTGCTAAGGCCTGAGATGCATTCTGGGAGCACACAGCATACTGTAGGCAGGACAGGTGATCAGAAAAGCTAAAGGGCCATTATGCTGCCATGATCACCTGGAAATTGCCTGCAGCCATTATCTTTGGCAGTTTCCTCACCACCCTCTAATTTAGCGGAATTACATGAACCATGCCTCCAGTCTGGAAGGCATAAAACATCAGCTTATCAAAAAAAGCACCACTTTTGAAGTTGATTCCCTACCAGCTGACTGCTTAGGCTTCTACACTTCCCACTGTGAAACAGGGTATGCCCACATTGTGACAAAGGAGGAAGAATAAGCACCCTCACGCTCAGCTAAGTTAACTTTATTTTTTTATGGATCCCAAGTGCATAGATTAAGAGTTACAGGTTATAAACTAAGAAACTTTGTGATTTGAGAGGTGAAGTCACTTTATAGACCAATCTGGGCAATGGAAACCAATCATTTGTTGTGTTTTTCTATTTCTTAACAAGCTCATGAAATTAAGTTTAAATCACAGAGTACATTGTCCTGTAAATTTGAGAGACACAAATGGACTGCAATAGCTGTTCAACAGGTAACACATTCACAGATTAAAACACTTCTGTAACTACAGGGCAAAAATTATCCTGAACTGTACATGTTCAGAGCTGGGTTCTGACTTTACACAAAAAAATGTAGTGCCCAATCTCTTTTAATGTGACATTGAATATACAGTAACTTCTAGAAACCATTGTCCACCTTAACTGCTGACAGACATTAGCAACCTAACTAAGAAATTGAACACTTGGGAGGGGTGGGGGAAGCAGAAGGCAGGGGCAATTCATTATATTTTATGAAGTAATTAAATTGAACACATTGGCATGGCCTTGTCAGCGTACTATACTCTGAGTTTAGACTACAAATTTAGTACTGGTGCATAAAATGTGCATTATTTTAAATTTCTAAATAAAAAATGATATGTCTATTGAAATAATGTGTCCATATTAAGCCAATGGACTAGAATTAGTCTCAAATATGCCTCTTGCTCTCAAGACGAAAAGAGGAGAAAGATATCTGAAAGTAATTCCTGCATCAAGCAAATTCAGATTTCTGTTGAATACAAATTTGTTTATTATTGAATAAAAATAATTCTAGCTGATTTGAGGGGAAAAAAAACAAGAAAGAAAAACACAACATTTTGAGAGCCTCCAAAAATACTCTGAAGCAGGAGATTAACTTACCTGCTTCCCACAAAAATCTGAAAAACTTTCCACACCTCAATTTTGCCCACCAAACTGTTATGATCAATGACATCAGAAGAATCAGAAGCAGATGGAGAATTACAAAGCTCATTGGTTTAACAGTGAAGGCTAACTGGGGGAACATAAAACAATTTATGTTTTTTCTGGTCACAAACAGGAATAGAAGTTTTTGTTTTTTCTTTGCTTATAAAATAAATCTCATTTCTCTACAGCTGATATTACAGTTCACTGCAAAAGGCATAATAATTCCCCTGCAAAACCTAACCAAGCTGCTTCTCTATTCTGTGCATATAATATTCATATAATACAAACAGGCATAGCCATAGCACTGATTTAAATCAACACAAGTATCTGTAGCCAGCCTGCAGCTATTCTTACATTCTGAAAAAATGCATAAAGTTCATACATTTCTGCCTGACATATGTACTTCCAAGATTAAAGCTTTGTTTTGGAATCAAAATACTGGGGCTCACTAATTCCATTCCCATTAAATTAAATGAAAAAAAATTACTTTTCAGAAACACAAACATCTCTATTTAATACATATTTTAGAAGAGAATGTGCCAGAAAGCCAACTGTCGTTATCTCTTTCTTCATACTGTATTGTATTTTTCGTAAGTGAATGCTAAACCAAGAAAAACATTTTGTTGCACTGGTTTCATTGTTGTTACTTAAATTCTTATCTAACCATAAAGCTTATGTGATACTTTGCAGTGGCAAACAGATAAGCATAATGTTCCGTTTTTTCCACACTCAAAGTTTAAAACTGACCTCAAAGTTAACTGTGGTATTCACAGACAAAACAAACCAAAACTAGGCCAAGCACATCAAAGGCCTATTGCTGAAAAATAGCAGAAAAATCCCAAAGTCACCCAGTACAGACATCTGGAGAACACTTTTGGGACAAGCAACTTATGCCCAAGAACTATCAAGACTTTCCTGCAACTCTTATTCTAGAGGCATATTTAAATGAATTCTGGACACTGAAGTAGTTCCATCACTGGGGTCACTCCAAATGACAAAACTAAAAATCCATTTGTACATTGGCTGGAACTTTCCTCCATTCCAACCAGAACAAAAACACTAAAGACCAAAATTCAAGGCTTTTCAGCTCCAAGAACTTGTAACAAAACCTCCAAACTTTGCTGTTACACTAAACCCAAGCTTATCTTGTGTTTCCATTTCTCAAGAATAGCTTGTGATTCTCAGCAATGCAGATATTTACAAGTCTTTTTTCATGAGATAAAACTGCTCATAAGTGGCATTCCAAGTTGGACAGGGTGAAGTAATGACTGCTGAGGGGAGAGAAAAAAATCAAATATCCACATGGACTGACAAAACCAGTGTATTGACAAAACATCTCTCCCCACTATTAAAAATTCTTGGGATGGAATCCTGAGACATGATGCGTGTCTGACCTCCTCAGGTTAGACTCACACAGCTGCACTATATGGGCCAAACTTCCTGAAGATGTTTGAGTTGCTTCAGCAAAAACTGAAAGATTTCAAGCACCAGTTTATATGGATGAGTGCAGCAAATACATGTTTCATCCTGCTTCACTCCACCATACTCCACCCTTGCCGATTGTCCACATCAGATAGAAGTTCACTGTCTAAATACAGTTTGGAAAATGACTTCCCAGATTTACACTTGCCTACAAAAAAACAAGATTCAAGATTTACCATGGTGTATGGTTGCCAGGCAGAGAATTAGTACAGGACTCAGTAACATGTCAGTACCTCCTTGAAGTCCTAGAGGTGTTTAGGTTGTTTACTAACCAAAGCCTCAGCACACCTGCTTTGGCATGCAAAGCAAGGCATAGGTGAATCAACATCACGGCCAACTCTTTAGAAGTGATTGGAAAATGAACTCTACAGAGCTATCTACCAACAAAGAACTCCTATTAGAGATGGTCAAGTGTCAGAGTAACTCATGTTTGGTATCCAATCAGATGGAGATACAGCCTAATCTACCCAGCAGCACCTTGCTTCAGCACATGGTGTAGCCAGCTGCTTTCCTCTGAGGCATTAACCACTCATTTTAGCATGCCAAAGTAAGCACCTTTAGTTTAATCCTTAGATTATACCTCAGCTTCTCATTAGGAAAATAACCACACTTCCATATGTTCTTGAAATACTGCAAGACCACCTGCATTAGCAATTGTGAGGCACTGATTTTCAATGCACACCAGGCAGAGACATGTCAAAGAAAATTTTCTGCCTCTCCTTGCTGATTATGTATCCCTACTATCTTTTCTTAAAGGCATACCTTTAATTCACTACCTGACAATTCTTGCAAGATACGAGGTTTGGCACAGATTGTGAACACAAAAGTCATTAATAAAAATAGGTATTGCCCCCTGAAGTATATGCACTGCAAAATTAAGTAACATACTTGAAACCTACAGGATACTACAAAAGAAAATGAAAAGCCAAACAATTTAACAGAATGGAGAAAAGGCTTGCATTGCATTTTTTATGTGAATAAACAATAACATGGTCCTTATTTTCCCATACCATTAGTTCATTTTGTCAAGAAATTATCTGCTATTTCAGAAAGGTCCACCTCTATTACTAAAGAGGTTCCTTGGACTATACTTTTTTACTTTTAAGTTGGGCATTCAGAATTTGATGTCCTAGAGACCAATGACACATTGCTTCCTTTGAAACATCTAGGAAAGAATTAACCTCTCAAATTTAAACAAAACTAAAAATCCTAAAGAATACTGTTTCAAGTTTCACTCTACACAGTCACCCTTAAAAATTCTTAATAAATGAAATTATTATTAGTAATAGTATTATTGTATTCTCATATTCTTTCCATAGACCACACTTCCATCACTGTAATCCTCTAATACTACGATATACTATTACAATTCCTTCTGGAATAGCAGGGAAAAAACTGTACAAGTACAAAAACCAGAGAAGCTTCATTGGTACCTGGTCTCACAGCCATCCTTGTACTGCAGTATTTCACATGGCAAACAGTAAGTACAGAGCAAAGAAATGTCAAGACCTGCTATCATTAGCCTATCAATTAAAACATTGCAAAAAATACATAGAATTTTTAAAATTAATTTAATTACCAGGAAAAGCACTTCTGGCTCAACTACCTTCTAATAAAATAAGTCTCACCTTTGGCCCATGAGATGATTTCTTCTTCACTTCAGAAAAAGACAGAGAGTTACTGGGAAGGCTGGGGAGATGAAGGCTCTGCCCTGAAGAAAATGATGTGCCATCTGACATTACCATCATCTGTTGTAAGAGGGAAAGCATGTCAGTAAAACATTACCAACAAGAGCAGAGTCTCACCTGCCTAGCAAATCACACTGGTAGGAGAATAAAAGTCCAATAAACAATATCCATGTTTTTTCTCAAGAAGAGACAATTTAATGAAATCACACAGACAATCAGTTAATTTTCCCCAAGATGATTCTGTTTTTCCCATGATATTAACAGGTAAGCAATTTCTCCGCCTATATCCTGACCCATGAGCTTTCCCACCCATCCTTTCTCCTTTCCCTGAGAGGCAAAGTCAGCGACCAAGCATCTTAGCCAAGGTTAACCCACCACAAAGATACATTGTAAAAACCGACTGAGGTTTTAAAGTAAAAGCACTCTCTCCTTAATTTCAGCTTCTAACTTCAGGCTTCTGTCTTTTATCTAGAGTACAGTAAACTGGGTGGTGGCTGCTAAGCAAGCGGCCAGTTTGCTATTAAGAGAGTCTAGCTCCCTTTCTTGACTTTAAAGACTTAAGTACAAACAGATCATTTCCAGAAAGCACATATAAATCAGCTATTACTGAGCAGTTACCTGACGTGTAAAGATTATTCCTTCCATCTGTGGGAAACCCAGCTAGGATCTTATCTTCTGTTCCAGTGCTGCTGGATTTCATGATTCCTACCACAGCCATTCATTCATCTATTGTTTCAAAGCTCCAAATGCCAGGACAGCTTACCTGTCTGACAAGCCCTGCAAAGCTGGAAAGAGGATGCAGAGCTCTGCATCTGCAAGGAAACATGTCTTCCCACAGGTTCCCATGCACAAAGCAACAGTGGTTTTGTGGACATGCTATGTGGATATCCCCGCCTCTTTAGATGGCCAGAACATCCTCTGACTCAGGGGACAGGAATAAGCTGACCCATCATGTGCCTCATACACATCACATTAAAAATATAGGGGAATCAAGGATGTAGATAGGTATATTCCAGTGTTACCTCTCCAAGTCAGGATGATATTTTATTGCGTACAGATTCCTGAAGACAGGTTTTCAATTTTTAAAAATGTAAAAAATTGTTTAAACACCACTCTAAATGAATCTTGTTGCAGACCACTTTGCTCAAAAGATACATGGTAGCTAGGGGAACATTAAGAGACATGTCTAGGTAATAAAAATTATTTTTATCAGCCTGTTTTCAACACTGTAGCTAGATGCCAAAGGCAGAAGAAGAAGGCAATTAAGCTGCTCTAACCCAGAGCCTGCCAAAAGCCAAAACTCTCAAAAAAATCATCTGTCCAAAAGCAATTACATTCTTCTTGCAATCATGGCACTGTTGATTGTAATTAGCTATTGTGAATCACAGTAAGTGATGCTTTAGCAGGAGAAATACTTTTTTAGTCTCAATTTGCAAAGGCCTTTCGTTGCATTAAACTCAGCTGAATACAAGAGAAGGCACAAGCTAACAAAGAACAATCAGCCAGAAAGAAAATCTACAGCCACATATGCATACCGTTTATAAACCTGGGTGACAGATAGAGAAAATGCATGTATTTAGCATTTTTTTCTCTCACAGAGCATGTCAAATGAATGTTAAATAATATTGTTCTTTAAGTCAAACTCTGCAGTCTTTTTTAAAGGCATAAATTTAATAGAACATATCGTTTGCATAAAATCAACGTCTACCAGAAAAAGCAAAGTTACCCATTAAATGCAGATATTTAAGCAGATATTTTATTGCCCAAAGTAGTTTCATTCATACATTCATATGACAAAAAGATGCATATCCATGTGGAAGAATATTTTAGTCAGGAGCATCAGGCTTTGCCCTACTCTGAAATTAAAACTAAAGAAACAAACACTCTGCCAAAAATGCTTTCTCCTAGCTGCCATTTTCTCCCTGAAGCATAGAAGTTTGGTTCACTGAAATAAACTCACTGAAGTTTAACCACTGCATAAATTTTCTTCTTAAAATTCATAAACACTTCAGTTTAGAAATATTCATATATTCATGACTGCACACAGCTTTCTTAGAAAGCTGACATTTTTTAGAAAGTATAAGGACTTCTAAGAGATCTCAGTTTCTGGCAAGTATTTGGACCATTAACAGTCCCTATATCACAGACTGTTTCAAAACAGGATGACAATCTACAGGAAGATTTATAGGGATGGGATGAACAGCATTAATACCATATGAAGTCTGATTTGGCAAATCTAGTTACAATAGGAGAAAATAAATCCTGCAGTGGCTTTAGAAAACAAGATCTGGACATACCAAATCATGAGCCCTAAAATTTTCAGCATATTGAATCCTGCAGCCTGTTATTTCATCATAAATCCTATTAAAAAAATGGCAACTGTAAATTCAAAATTTTAATGTGATTAGCAATGCATGCAGTTAAGACAGACTACAGACTATAGAATCTTTAAAGCTGACAAGAACATGACAAGAGACCAGAAAGTCTCACATAAAATTACCTCTTTTGCACCTATGATAAAAAATACATATTTCTCTTCCAAACAGATCTCTGACGGAAGTACATGCTCCTCATTTAAGTCTGTTATGTGACCAAAAAAAAAAAAAAAAGGAAAAAAATTACCTTGACCTCTCAAAGAAAGAAGTTGATATCAGCACTAAGTAACATCCAATATGTTTGTTTTCTTTGTCAAGATCACCTACGTAGAAAGCCCCTATATTACCAACATGTTTTTATATTAATATGCATTTCCATTTTGGCTAAATTTAGGACAGTGACAACTATACATCCAGTTTAAGTTTACCAGTTGGAAGACCTCAGCTGACACAATTAGAGCAATTTCTGCAGTGGGTAGCTGCCCTTTGTCCCCGCATTAGTCAAACACAGAATCACAGGGTGGCAGATGTACTTCCACCAGCTTTCAGAGTAAGTCCCTATTTTCTCATTGCTTCTACCACACTGGCAACACACACTGCTTGACTGTGGGCACGTCTACACCTCTATTAAACCAAGCTCTACCAAAGATGGAAAAGGTGCGAACGAGCATAATGACAGCAAGACACCACTACTGCAGCAAGAATGCAAGCTCACTGATAGCACAAAATAACTTTCCAGCATAGCCTATATGCACTCTTTTTTACATTTTTCCTCCTTCCTGCATTGCACATTTCCTGCTGTCTTACAGCTGCCTGGAGACACAGCTCAAGAGAGAGGGGATGTGGCTGCAGCCCGTGCTTGAGCCTGGCAGTTGAGGACACCTGCAGCTGGTACTCATCTGCACCTACAATGAATAACTTCAGTGACAAAATCCAGGAACATGACCAACTCTTCTTCTCAGTGTCTTTTAAAGCCTACACCTAAGTGGGATCAGCCAGACTGGTGTCAATGAAGCAAGGTGAGACAACAGCAGTCTTTAAACAAGTCAGTTTAAACAGCCATATAACCACACTCTGAATTCACCAACACACAAAAATGAAGTTCTAGTTACAGTTCTGCTGTCCCCTCAAAGACTTTTCTTGACTATATTTAGCACAGTAGAGATCTAGCTAATCTCAAAGCTTGTCTTTTGTGGAGCAAATGGTGACAGCAATACAATGCGTAAAAGCAGGGTATTAGTTGGGCTTGTTCACAAATATTTTAAGTGTTTTTAAAAAGCGTGCATTAGGATACGTGGTATTGAATAAGCACTAGAAAGATGGCCACGGGACAACAGTCAGTTTCACAGTTTAATACCAGGGTAGAAATAATACAGGAACACCAGGCTATATAGAGAAATATGCCAAGGAAGATGATTGTCCCACTCTACTCTGCACTGGTGTAGCCTCAGCTTGAGTCCTGTGTGCAGCTGTGGCACCTCAGCACAAGGAGGACATCAGACTACTGGAGAGTGTACAGAGGAGGGCAACCAGAGGGGTGAAAGGCAGCTGACATCACCTGACTTAGAGAACATGAGCTCAGAGAACAGAAGGGATGACTCCACTGCAGCCCACAACTGCCCTCGAGGGGGAGCTGCTCATCCCTCTCACATAATCTAACAGCCCTGCTGGTACCGATAGCTTGCCTCTAGTTCCCCAAAAACTCACTTCACTAGCCCTCAGCTGTTAAACTCATATTTAAAACCTTCGTCTACCAGTTGCTTTAAATGAAAGTCAACTTTGCAAGGGCAAAGGAAAACCTACTTTCTTCCCCAAAAATAGTGCATAGAGGAAATCCGCTGATACTCGCATTTTTGGGTAGGAATAACCAACCTGAACTGACCAGGCTTCATAATACCTGAGCTGCTAGAATCTTAGAACCATAGAATGGTTTGGGTTGGAAGGGACATTACAGATCATCTTGTTCCAATTCCCCTGCTGTAGGCAAGGATACATTTCACTACATTAGGTTGCTCAAATTGCCATCCAAACTCCAAGGAATGGGGCATCCACAGCTTCTCTGGAAACTTGTTCCAGTGCCTCCCCACCCCCACAGTAAATAATTTCTTTCTTACATCTAAACTTACTCTCTTTCAGTTTGAAGCCATTCTTCCTTATCCTAACAATACCTGCCCTTTTACAACGTTTCTCTCAGGGTATTTCTAAGGACATTCCAATCTGCTACTCAAGACAACTGAATGCTATGGAAAGAAAAACTGTCATGCATTTAATTTAAGCAGTTCCATGCACTTCTGAAAAAAAAGAATGGATCAAGGAACAACTGTGCACTACCAATTACCATAATACAATGAGGAACCCTCCTCCACTATTCCTCTTCCAGCAATTTGGGGAAAATTATGAAACTGCAATACCTTGTGAATTACAATAGCTTGTATTAACCTACTAACAATTGCTTCTGAAGTCTCCTTACAAAAAAGAAAAAAATCCTGACATTTTGAAGACAAGATTTATCTAACAATACATGCTTGAAAACTTGGAGTACCTGGGTACCCAACAAGAACAACTCACTTTCAAAAAAATAACCCTTGCTTTTCATGTCCCTGTAAGATGAGGAATGTGGAACAATCTTAAAATGTTCCATGAAAAGCTGGTCTTCTTTTATTGCCCATTTTTACAAATGCACAG